TTTACCGAATCCCTGTTTGAATAATGGAACTTGTTCAATGTTAACAACATCAACAATATCATGTTTATGTACAACAACATATTATGGTGATCGATGTCAAATATTAAATCCATGTCAAAATCCAATATGTATACATGGTATTTGTCAAATAAATTCTGCGACATTAACAGCTCAATGTGCATGTTATGCTGGATGGACAGGTACTTATTGTGATGCATTAATTGCTTGTTACAGTAATCCTTGTGTACATGGTACATGTGTACAATCAAGTACATCTGGTTATGTATGCAATTGTATAGCTGGTTATTATGGTCCACAATGTCAATATCCAATAACACAAACACCATGTGACAGTGGCCCATGTCGTAATAGTGGTACATGTCAAGTAGCAATGAATGGATATACTTGTTTATGTCCAGCTTATTATGTTGGTATTAATTGTGAATATATTAATCCATGTGTATTAATTGGAGCACCTTCAACATGTCAATCGGTATTAACTCCATCAGGAAATTATACATGTTCATGTCCAACAGATCCAGTAAGTTTAATAAATATCTATTTGATTAAATAAATCTTTTTTGTAAATATCTAGTGTTCAAGTAATCCATGTCAATATGGAACGTGTATTGTAATCAATTCTGGTCTTGCTTATCGTTGTATGTGTTATCCAAATTATTTAGGTGTACACTGTAATTTACCAGATCCATGTTCTTTAACTACATGTTATAATGGTGGTAGATGTATAGCTACAGTAAACAGTGATAGCACACAAGTTACTCAATCATGTCAATGTCCATCTTCTCAATATTTTATTGGTGCATTTTGTGAACATTATAATCCATGTATATCTTCACCTTGTATGAATAATGCAACATGTACAGCTTATGTAAATGTAACATGTTATTATCATTGTATTTGTCCAATGGGTTATTCAGGTGAACGATGTCAATATTCTATGGCACAAATTCGTTGTGAATCTGTAAATATACCGAATAATTGTCGTAATGGTGGTACTTGTATGTTAATTGGTATGAGTACACAATGTTTTTGTACGTCAATGTATACAGGTACATTATGTGAAAATGTAGCTGATATATGCAGTTTACGGGTATGTCAAAATGGAGGAACATGTCTAATTGTAAATGGTACAAATGTTATATGTCAATGTTTACCATCATATCAAGGAACATATTGTGAATATTCAACAGATCCATGTTCAGTTCAACCATGCTTCAATGGAGGACAATGTATTGCATCATTTTTAACATTTACATGTAATTGTGCACAAACAATGTATACAGGACCCAGATGTGAAACATTAATTTCATCACCATGTAGAATAAGTCCAGTAAAGAATCTTTTTCTCTTTTGTTTTTTGTCGGAATAAAATTTTTATTATTAATTATTATTTTTTTGTGATAGTGTTTAAATGGCGGTACATGTCAAATAGTTGGTTCATCATATGTTTGCTTATGTCCAACACCATTTACCGGTCAAATATGTGCACAATCCATAAATATTTGTTCAACGATTCAGTGTCTGAATGGAGGTACTTGTTTAGATTATGGTACATTTCCTATATGTAATTGTTTAATAAGTTACACTGGTGATCGTTGTCAATATATAAATCAATGTTATCCAAATCCACCATGTGTATATGGGGGAACATGTATACCTGTATTGTATAGTTTTTCATGTCAATGTCCAACTGGTCGAACAGGTACGACATGTCAATTTTTAGCTGATGATCCATGTGCAGGTGGAAATTATCGATGCTTAAATGGTGGAACATGTATAATATTATCAGGTACATCACAAGCTAGTTGCTTATGTCCAACAAATTTTACTGGTGAACAATGTGAACAAAGTTTGTTAGAGATTTTATTATTGATTTCGAAAAAGAATTATCTTATTTTAGTTGTATCACCTATATCAATTACAGTAACAACAACAATAACAACCTTATCGTCATCAATTTTAACAATTATTTCTGAATCATCATCAGTGATTATTGGAACAACATCATCAAATTATTTAAATATGACAAGTGCACCATATGCATGTGATGATATATCACTTGCCTGTCTTGCTTATAGTGCTTATTGTGCACGTGAAATTGAATTTTCTGGTATTCCATGTCGAGTTCTTTGTCCAAGAACTTGTAATACTTGTAAGTTGAAAAATTATAAATAGATATGTATTATTTATGTATTTGTTTTCTAGGTTGCGAAGATTATTATATCGATGGTACATGTTCATTAGAAAAATGTCAACTTAATCCTCAACTTGAATGTTATTGTCGAAAATCGTGTATCTGCAAAACATGACTATAATATAATGTTTCTTTCTTTTTTTTTTGTTTCGTTTTTATTAAAACATATTTCTGAATCACAAGCTTATTTCTTTATTATACTATGACTAAGTGATTTAATCAAATAAAATATTCTATTATCTTTAATATATCCTTTATCGTATATTAAAAACTAAAGAATTTTAATGTGTTTCTATTTCTTTTGCGATACTTGTGGATAGTATCCTGCAACTTTCTCACATATCGGGCATAGAGTCCAGCTCGCAGTATGAGTCCGGATATGATCTAATACATGAATTCGACATGGCAATTAATGAGATCTGGATATTTTAAAATATTTTTACTTTTTCAAACTGCTATTTATATAAAAGCATAGAAGTAAAAACCGATTCGATTATCATTGAGCAATTTACTACACGTGAGAACAGATCACAGAAGTGGAAAGCAATATTATTTTACTACAAGAATTCTTTTTTAATGAAAGTGTCATCAGCAATAAGCAGTCGTATACTTAGCTCAATTGATTAGATTTTAGAAGCAGAAAGTGATCAAGTGAATCTTGAATTATTCGTTTTTTTCGTAGAATTAGAGATGATCTCTTTGTTTTTGTTGCTATTTATGGAAGAAACTAAATAGTATACTTTTTCATATACAATAAAAGTTTGAAAATCGTATTGTGACCGTAAAAGTATCTGTTAAATGTTGATTAGTTCCGGTTGGGTGCTGGATATTAAAAAAAAAAAGTGTCAGTCCGAGTCCGGTTGCGAAAGTTGTACGCATGTAGGACACTACTTGTGGAGAACAGATGTTCAGAAAGTTTTCAAAACCTTCAAAGAGTAGACAGATCTGGATCATTAGAGTAAAAATTGTTATAGACTCAAAATTTCCAAATGCTTCTTTCTATGAAATATCCAAGCCATAAAAGTTAAAATTCGTCTCTCTACTTACTACGCTAGTTTTAACTCGATTGGATGTACTGTATCTACGAAACAAGAGCAATTTTCCACTTGTCTTGATCAAAAATTCATTTTTCGAAAACAGCAAAACTATGCGTAAATATTAATGCTTTTCGATTTTTACAGTTACATATTAATTCTTGAAATACGTCCAATAGATAGAGGACACTTTCGAAGTATATGTGGATGGTTTGCGCTACCATTGTGCCGTTTGCATTCCGAACATAAAAATGTTTATAACTCCTCTTCTACTGAATGACTTTTAATGATTCTTTTTTTACATAACTATAGACTAGTGTCCTACTTACAGTGAAAATTTCGAGCCTTTCTTTCCATCCGTTTCTTTCGAATATCGAATAGGAAAATTTAAAGTCTATGGTTTCTAACGCCGTCTGATCAAAAAGATGGTGTGCTTATTCCAAAATCTTGATTAGATGAATAATCTTTGGCAACTGTTTCACAGCTGATACTTTCTACTTTCTAACCATATCAAAGGATCATAAATTTGGTTTCGACTTATCACTAAAATCTTGCAATAATTACTTTGACATACATTTTAACTATTTTATATTCCGACAGATTAAATTCAATCTACTATAGTCAATTGAAAACCGAATGTGTATTTCTTTGTTTACATTTGTGAACTAAAGAGTGAGAAATCTTTCTATAAAAAAAACTTTTCTCTAATGGACTTCTAAATCAAATAAAAAACAAAAAATAAAACGAACAAGTGATTATTGTTCTACTAAATGTCCCAGCAGATTGTTAATTTCTTTTCTTTCATTTCTCGGTAGCTATATAGAGTTAATCGATCATTTTTTTATCTTTTTAAGCTGACTAAGTGGTCAGTCTACCGTAGAAATATCAGCTCTTAAACAAACATCGCTCATGAGAAGCCAATATTTTATTCAAAAAATGTCTCGACAGATGTTTTCAATATTACGACATTATAACTAATCATTTTCACACATATATTGAGAAATCTTCACACTTAAAATGATCGAGTGTTGTCTTTTATTCTCTTTTAATTCTGATAACAATTTAGAAATAGTACTGTAGATATTGTATTCTGCGAAAAAACTCTAGAAAACTCAGTTTTTCCAAAAATGAAGAAACTGACAGTTGGAAAAACACTTAATACATATGCAATTGATAGAGCTCTAACCTAAGTTCTCTTCATGTTCACTTTGATTTTTTTCCAATTTTTTCATCAAACAGCACAATGGTAGCGCAAATCACCCATATGTATATATATAGCAGGGAAAAACAAAAATGAAAAAATCTAAAAATTTTCGACATAATTGTTGTTGATTTCAAATACAAAAAAATATCTAACCCTTTACTGTTATGTTTTTAACTATTCACAATCCAAAGACTAGATTCTACTACAATCCATCGTGACTAAAGAAACAAATTTGTAAGTGATAGATGGCTTTTATCGAATATGTTCGTTATTATACGAAAAAAAAATACAACTAAGCTTATCTATGATCTTTTCTAATAAATAAAATTTTTCATTCTATGAACAATATTCGTATTTACAAAGTAAAAAGTCCTTTTGTGTGTGTGTGTTTTTTTTTGTCATAATTTATTATCAGTTGTCTTGCACGTTTCAGTGTTATTTTTAAATAAACAATAAACAATCGAAGAAATAACAGAATGAAAAAATAACGATCTGTCTTACATTGCAATACATGTAGAAGAAAAACGTTAAAAGATAAAACAAAATTATGACAGAGTAAGATATATGTTTTTCAATATATGTAAATTTCTTTCTTTTTATTTTCTTTAGACGTACTGTTCATTGTACATTTCATAATGTTTCATCTGATCTTATTGATATAATATCATCATCAATTGGTATTCGTACATTATCAAAACAAAAGAATAATCAATTATCTTATTCATGTTCACTTTTAAATGCTCGACAAAGACGTTCTACACTTGCAGATTGTCTTGGTCAATATCCACAAATTTGGTTTTCAATAGATTATTCAAATCAATTGAATAATTTTTCTTCAAAATTTGATAAAAATTTTTATATGATTGATCATATTTTTTTTGGTTCTTTATATTCAATTGAAAAATTTCTTGTTCATAATACACCACTTAATGAAAGACATGATTGGAAAATAAAAATTTATAATAAACAAATATTAATAATTGAATCTGAAGAAGAAAATTCTTCAATTCGTTTATCAATACCATTAAAATATTTACATAAAGAAATTCTTGTTATTGATGGTGAAGATTTTTCTGAAATTATTTTTAGTTATAATTTAATAACAATCGATATACGAACAAATAATAATAAAAAAATTGACAAGTAAACAATTAATAATTTCATTAATTCACAAAAAAAAAGTTTTTTTTTATTATTGTATTTAGAATTTATGGTAATAATTCAATCGTTAAATCATTAAATCAATGTACAGATTTTTTAATATGTTTATCACCAAAAACAAATGCTGATTTATTTCTTGATTGTCTTCAATTAAATTATAATTATAAAATTTTTTATACAACAATTGTAATACAAAATAGTATTTATCAATGGTCAATAAATGATTTAAATTGGTATCAAACAGATAATACACGTTATGCTATATCAATGTTACATTCATTAGGTTATGTTTTTGATGATAAATATTTACATAATAATATACTTCAAAATCATATGATTGAATTAGCTGAACAAAATGAAAATTATTTTTATCAATTATCATTAAAAATTTTTTATGAACTTAAAAAATGTCATTGGTTAAATTTAATAGAAATTTTTAATAAAAATCATATTAAAATAGTTAATGAAAATAATATTCTTTATATATCTGTTATTCATATAACACCAACACGTTTTTTAATAATGCCAAAAGAAAAAACTAAAGGTCATCGTGCAATACATTATTCATTATTTCAAGGTATTAATGATTTTTGTCTTGTTTATTTAAAACCTGATCCACCAAATATATATTTTAATGATGATAATAATAATCATATGATAGAATATTATAAACAAATATTTCAGTTAGGTATTAATCTTGCTGGAAATCATTATCATTTATTTGGAGCATCAAATTCACAATTAAAAGATCATTCATTTTGGTTTATAAAAGCATTAACATTAAATGAAATTCATCAAAAACGACAATTATTAGGTCAATTTGATAAAATTCGAAATTTAGGTACATATGTTGCTCGATTAGGTTTATGGTTTAGTAAAACTGATCCAACAAATGTAAGTATATATAAATACTATTATTATATTTATTTTTTTTCAAATTCTATCACAATCTAAAACTCCAGTAAAATGACTCTAATGCAGTAGTGAAAGTCTAAGAGTACTTATTCTTCTGGAATTTTTCATAGCTTATTGAAATCTTTCTTATACATAGAGTGTGAGTTCAATAATAGTTTATCATTTGATATGATTCTCTTCTCACTATTTCATATCGTTTTGGATTTAACTTTCTTCTAAAAGATGAAGTGTGAAAGTGTCTAAAACAAACCATAGCGAACCGTTAGTTGAAAACATCAGTGCCCGACTTAGGGTCACGAAAAATTTGACCCATCTTGAACACTAGAAAACATTGAAGTATTATAAAATTTATTCAATAAGTATGATGACAATGTATTGCTAATTACTTTCAAGAATAAAATTGAATTATATGGAAAAGTCTTATTGTCCATTTTGTAAACTTTGAAAAGTTCTGTATCATAGTTATAATTAATAATTTTCTCAACAAACATCTTTCATGCAAAATGTGCATTTCTTTTTTTGTCAGATTTCAGATTGTTACATTTTTTTGTGTACACTTCTTAGTTTATTCATTAGCGATTCAGTATAGAATTATTTAGTTGAATTATACCTAAATATTTTTTTTTTGGCTCTTGATCAGGTTACAACCATAATAGAAAATCTGATTATCGTGGATCTTAGTATTTAGAGAGTAGACTCCTTTTCAATAGTTGTTAAAGTGTCCTTATCGTTCATATATGACGTTAGTATGAGTACATTACATTATGTCTGACATATAGTACTTTGCAAGATTTTTTTTTTATTAGTTTAAAGAAATGGAAAATAATCTTGTTTATTTATTTTGTCATATCCGTTATTTTAGATTAGACTTAATTATTGTTCAAATGAAAATGAATTTAATTATCATGTTAAACAAGGTGAAATATGTATTATGATGATTGAAGATATTGAAA